TCTCCCCTGACCCAGGCAGCTCTGGGGAGTGCCCCCCACACACAGACCCTCCTGACTCCCTGCCAGTGGTCCCAGCTTTTATCCCCCAGCAGACCCCTGACCTTTGTCAGCTCCCTGCGGGACCCCTGGGGCTCATTTCCCTTCTGGCTCTCCCTGCAGGGCCGGCCGCACCCTGGGGGGAAGCTCTAAGGCAAACTCAGCACCTCTGGATGAAGGGCTGTGGGAATCACCCATATGGCAACCTTAATTTGGGGGCTCGGGGTTCAAACCCCAGCATTTCACCCTGTCAGAGCCTGGTGAGCCTGGCAGGCCCAGAGCCAGCCCCTGCAGGCTCCCACCCACTGGCATTCTGCGGGAAGCGGCGGCAGGAGCGGTCCCCGTGACTGAGAGAACAAGGAGCCACAGCTCTCCTCACAAAAAAATTGGAGTCTTTCTTTACCCTGAAATCAAGCACTGTGATTCTGAAAGGCTCTTTAGTGCTACAAGGTATAAGTTCTTTCAGAAGGTGTTCAGAAGGCCGAAGTGCCAAGCAAACACAACTAACCCCAGTTACTGACACGGCCGAACGCTTAAACAGAAGAAATGCAGCCATCAGTCTGCAGGAGGTTTGAAGTATGGGAGGCTAACTTCTCCAGAGGTGCTAACTGAAATGTAAAGATATGACATTTTCCTTCATACATTCCATTTAAAAAAAATCTTTTATACTCTTTTAAGAGGAAAAAACAGCCCAAAAAGTGACCCAACCATGTAAAGGAAACACACAGACTTTTAAAAAGTTTAGAAGCTGACTCACCAGTCTCTTTAAAATCTTCAACAGGAGCTTCAGTTGTCTGGTATCTTTTTTGGACTTCAGTACCTCAGCAAAGGTCTCCATGTTTTCTGGAGACATGTTCTCCTGACTGCTCCCCCCATAGAGCTGGACCAGCAACGACAAGCACTGCAAGGCACTCACAAAGATCTCTGCATCTTCACTGGGAAGCTAAAGAAGAACAAAAAACGAGCAAATAAAAATCCAATGCCAATTCCAGATAAATTGCACTTCACTGGGGATCTGGAAGAATATTACATTTGTATTGTGCCAGGAAAGAATAACTTCTAGTTGACTGACTCAAAAGTCCATTAAGCTAAGCTTAATAAAGTGATGAAACTATAATTAAACCATATCTGTTCTTAAGCAGCAGCATAACAATGTCTCCACTATGACTCTGTCAAATAACCTACCTACAGTGACATCACAAAGCACTGAAAATGCAGCTCCCAACTCTTGTTATTTTCAGACAATGTATTTTTCTTGAAATAGTAACAGCAACAGCACAAAGCATCATTATAGCCATGATGTCTCATCTTCCAAACATGGCACACCATAAAACTGCATCTAATTATTTCTAAATCAAGTCTATGGCTTCTGGCTGAGGTAGAGCACAGGCTACCCAGCTATTTAATGGATTTTCAGCAGTCACACTAGGAGGTATGTTTTGCAGGTTTAAAATATTTCCCAAACTCCAGCTTTTCTACATGCCTTTGAAGAACAGACACTGGAGCAGGCCCTGACAATGAGATGGAAAAACTCTTTCCTGGGAAGTAAAATCATGGGAAAAGTTTGGGGACGTGGCTAAAAGTCATCTTTAAATGAGCTTCTCACAGTACAACATCACTGTCAAAATGGTTTCTACCTTTCTTGAGAGTATGATCTGGAAATAACAACAAATAAGCTATATTATTTTAATTATATAAGAATACATTACAAATAAATGATGCTTGCATTTGGCTCTGTAGGAGAGACAACAGGAATACAATGCCTAGTTTTAGCACAGACAGTTTATGAAAGCTAGTGAAAAAAATCAGAGGTTTCTTGGGAAGAAGCAAGAGGAAAACCTAACAGCAAAGGACTGCAGGAATTTAATGTCTATGGCTTATCAAAGGGGGGGTTAAAGGGCACTCTCTGTGTTCTCTCTGTCAGGTGGGAGAAGCAGCAGGCTGAGGACAGGTTAATTCTTTACCTGGAAAAGGCCTGGTGAGACACGAGAGCTCAAAACTTCAGACACAGCAATGCAGAGGAGAGGGAAGACAATACTTTGATTTCCTTTTAATTTCTTTCTTTAGTAAGTGATTAACTATTGGAACAACTTTCTTAGAACTGAGACAGATTCTCCATCACAAGCAATTTATGTCATAAAAATATTTTTTGTTTAAAAAAAATAACAAATCCCTTTATATAATGAAGGATTAATTTAGGGAAGTCCTATGTCTCTTGTTATACAAGATCCTAGACTCAATGATGGCAACAGCCTTTCTGTGCCTCACCACCCATGACCTGAACAATTTATACCTGTGGTGGTCTTAGCCAGTAAGATACAGAAGTGTAAAACCATCTTGCCACTCCTGCTCAGGTTTTGAATTCCAGAAGCACTATCTGAATACAAAGAAGCTAGGTTGAAATCTGATTAACAGACTATTTTTCACTGACCATAAAATGGAAACCATTTCTATAAGCTCTCCAGCCATTTATCTAACACACCCAACCACTTCCATAACAATGATTCAATCTGCAGTACGAGCTTCCCAAGTTTCTGCATTTTAAGGCAAACTCATACAGTTCCTTTAGAGCAATCTGTGAGCATCTGATCAGACACGGACTCCTCAGACACTCAGGCAGTGATTCCCCAGGGACCTGCATGCAAATACAATCCTGTTTGCCATTAGCTTCATGTTAAAACCAGACTGAACAGAGAAGTGAGCTCTGAATCCACAGCCCCAAGACACATCCCATCCTATCTGACCTCATGCTGTGCACATGACAGGACCACAGCAGCTATTTCTTCCACAGTTGGGCTGTGTGACTTTTCTTCACACCAGTTGAAATGCCACCTATTTGACTGCTGCCTATCCAACACCCAGAAATATCTAATAACATCAGCAGTGTAAACAGCAAGGCTAAAAAGGAGGAAAAGCTACAAACAGTAACAAACTTTGTAGCACCATTTATGTCCTCAGTCCTTATCAGGGCCAAAAAAATTCCCCTGGTCTCACAGTGGGCTTTGAGCTGACTTGAAAAACCAAGTCCTCCACTGAAAAACCCCTCATGCTAAACAACTTGAATACATCCCTCTCATCTCTTACCCTAAAGCAGAGCTCTAGGAAAGCCCATATTTGCTCTGGAGGGGACAGGAATCAGTGGCCTGCAGCCTGCCCCATCAATAATTAAAGCAATGTCCCTGTGTGAGTATGTCTGCATCAGCAGCTTCTCTGTGAGTCTCCCTGTTTTGCTGTTTCACTGCTGACAGCCAGTGATTTAGATGTCAAAAGTCCTAAGCTGGTAACTTGAAATTTAACATTGGCTGCCAGTCAGTGTTAGTACTGGTTATAAAGAGCAGAGGATCTGAAGAAAATTATCAGTATGAACAAAAGCTATGACTGAAAATATTATAAATATAGAAAATCAAGGAATGCAAATTCAGAATTCAAGCAAATAGTCTCTCATGTCTAAGAAGAACAGCAAAGCTAGAATCATGTTGCCAGGCAGTGAATGTAGATGGATGGTTCATCTCTTAATCATCCAGAACAATGTTCTGATTATTTTTCTAATCATAACAACTCCATTTGATATGAAGAAGGATATTTTAAGCCTTCAAAATGCATTTGTAGTTTTTCATGACAGCAGCTACTGAAGTTTTTGTTCTTTCAGGGGAGGAGAAGCCCATGAGAAACTCGAGTTCTAACTCTTTAAGAAAATATATGCCCCTTAATATTTCATACGAAATTTTAATACATTAAAAAACTCTAGGGGCCTTTTGTTTCCTTTTGCTTTATCAGTCTTTGGGGGGATTATGGATTCAGCCCTTCAGCAAGGTAGAAATGTTAGTGCTCCTTCATTCTTGCAGCAGTTAATATTCTGGGCTATTGTATATAGCTCAGTGAAAATCCAGCACCTTAAAATAAATCACTGAACAGCTAGAGTCATAATTATGGCCAGTATCTATCTCAGAAACGTGGATTTGTTCTTCATTTCAAAATTTTAAAGTAATGCCTCGTGTTAAGGCTTTTGTGCAATCAAGTTTGTGTAGTAGCTTTTACTTAATTTTTATGGCTATGTTAGAACTTCCTGTGAACAGGCTCAGAACAAACTATTCTATTTCTCTGCCTTTCTAGGTAGAAGCTGCTCTGTGTGTTCTAAAGTTAACGTGGGGAGGAGGAGGAAGTTTCCTGTCACTACACATCTGTGTTTCTGAGGCTGCTGTCAGAGGCACCCTCGCTCTGAGGCGTTTGGGAGCTGCACGCCCCTGCGAGCACCGTGTGATCCGTTGAGCTGAAGTGGCACTTTTCACACTGCTGGAGTTGTTACACAGCATCTAATTTTAGAGGCACAAAGAAAGCGTCTGGATTACCCGGAGGGGACACTATTTCAGGGGATTAATGAGGTTATACACAAAGAGAGTTTATTACGACAAGGGATGGATGTTCATTAGATCAGTAATGTGATTACAGGATGCGCTGTAAAGGCAGCACCAGTGGGGACTATAGGGAAGATGATTTTGCAAACATTAAACAAACTGTACAAGCAAACCATTATTATTACTAAATGCTAATGTTATTATGCTGTTCTTATTAGTAAAAATGTGCAGTTTCAAATGAAAAAAAGATTTTATTTTGGCTTAGGGCAAAATCGGCTTCTTACCTAAGGGAAGAGATTTTTTTTAAAGCAATATATTTCCAGTTCATTTTAATCTAGCCTAATTGCTGAGAAACTAAATGGCCATTCTGAAATTCTCTGCTTGGGACAACATACTCCTTATTTTCTTTGGTGTTTTTGTTGCTTGTTTGGTTTTTGTTTGGTTGGCTTTTAGTGTAGCTCTGTAGAAGACAGTTCATCAGGTATAATTCACAGATAACATGTCAAGTGCAATAACAGCAATACATTATACAATACAGGAAATAAACATCTCTCTGTCCACTCTGAGCCCAGGATTGTCTGTATTCCTTAGAAATGGGAAGTAAAATTCTAAAGCCTCCAGGGTCGTTATTCTCCTGCAGTTGTTCTCATTCATTGGCAAACACCTTCACATGTTCTGGAACTGAGGTCAGGGCACAGCCTGAGATCCACCAGTGAAACAGAGACAGAAAGGGCCTAGAAGAGATTCTCTTGGTGACCCATGTCCACTGAGGCTTCCTATTTGTCCTCTTCATGTCTGCACATATCTAACAAGCCTTTCAACAGTAATATACAGAGCACAGGGACCAAGTGCAGTTTCTGCCAGCAGGAGTATGATGAGGAAGCCTACCACCAGAAGACAGGAAAAGTGCTTTCCCAGCAGTCTGGGAGGCTGCAGAAAAAAGGAATAGAAGATTTACACCTAGGATCTAAATCTTGGATCTACAGAGAAATTAAATTCTTATTTAGAGGCACTGGCAAGGTTTCTGAAAAATAAAAATGTTTCTGAAAATCCACATTGAAGTGATTTCAAAAGTAAATATTTTTTTCCCCCCCCGTATAACTGTTCATCAAAAATTAGGGATATTTTATGTCTTCTATAATTGCTGCACGTTTCAGCATTATAATCAAATTACATTTATGTTCAAGTGGAGAAACATTACACAAAAAAGCTAAGTGTAATTAACTTTTAAACACAAAGCTGCCAAGCAGAAGACTAAACGCTCAATTTAGCTTCCTCTTACTGATCAATTAAGAGCAGACTGATCATGGGATTAAATATTGAATTCTCCATATTTGCAGTGTTTTCTGCATGACAGAATTTGTAATTATTTCTCTTTCACATTCTTTAAGAATTCTGAAGTTTCATTTACATTCACTCCAGGCTTCCTACGCTTGCTTTGCTAAGCCCTCAGTGATGGACTAAATCACAATTACAGAAGGGAAAAAATTGATTCTAAGTTTTTGACATTTTCAAGTTTAACTCATTGATTTTTGAGGGATTATTAAGAGATAAATATGTAAAACTTGAGGAAAAGAAATAAATAGAGAAGTCAATGGGGCATGGAACAACCATCTACTTGAGGGATATCCATATCAATGAGGGAAAGCAGTTATCCAAACTGACATAAACTATAAATATGGTAAGTTGGATAGAAATCATAAACCAGAGAAAATCATTTTATTGCAATATCTTAAAGTGATGGTTAGTTCAGAATTTAAGACCTCCGTTAGCTCCAGAAAATAAAGTTCAGAGAACTGAATGTCTCAAAATGGCAAGAAAAGGTTATTTAGCTGCAGAGCTCAACAAATCCAGGGAACTACTGCTGGCAGCACATGAGTCTTTGGAGGGGTGAGGAGTGTGTAACATCTGGAGACCCACCAGACTTCACCAAGAATAGTCCTATTTAAAGAGATCAGAGCACAAAACATTTTAAACAAGTGGATCCTAAATGTTAAAATTATTATTCTGTTGTTCAAGCTCTTCCAGCCTGAACAGGAAATGTTTAATGCAGCAATGGATAAAAGATATAAAATCTAACCAGCCCAGCTGCAATAACTTCCACATGCCTGACCAAGCACACGGATGTAGAGAAAGACACACAGGAGAAATTCCCTCACTGCTACAAAATCTTTAACAAAAGTCCAAACCAAACCAAACAAAGGCAGCACCAATGGTCTTTCCTCCTTACCCATATGTTAAAATCAGCAGATTTTAAAAGAGCCCTTTAAACATACCAGAATCTGTGGGAATACAGAACAAAGCAAAACCTAGCAGTGATTTCCAGCCCTGCTGCTGAAATAGAAGGGCAAGTCAGAATCTAATCAGTACATGCTAACTATACAATTATCCTATCCTTTAATTAAAAACTTTTAAAAGACTTCCAGGTGGTACAGGCTGAATAAAGCTTGGCCTCTAATTTTCTGGTCTTTAGAGAGTTAATGCAATATAAATTTATGGCTAGTTTCACTTTAAGGGAACATTTCCACCTCTTCATGTCTTACTATTTATCATATTTAGAGATTTAAAAAGCATAGAAAAAAATGACAATAATTTGTAAAGATAAAATAATATATAGTCAAAATTCCATGACTTTGTTTTAGGTCATTCAGTGAACATTTCCAAAAAGCCCTTGTCAATAACTGGTTAAAATAAATCCATCAAGGGATGACTTAGCAACACGTATAATGCAAAAGTAGGTAGGAAAGGAATCAAGGAATCATGTTCTTCACCATAATAGAAGATGACAGAGAGTGCCACAGGTATTCCTGTGACAATAGGTCTGAAAACCTGCATTTAAATGAAAAACAAGCCAAAGAAATTATGTCTGGAAGAGAGGGCAGTGAATCTGAAATGCCTCCAAGTGAAATAACCCGGGAAGGACAGTGTGACATGCCACAGGGACATTGTGACAGCCCCTTTGAAGGGCTGTGTGTTGAACTCAAGGCTGGGGCAGGCTCTCAGGAAGCATTCCTCTCCTACAGGCTCCTGCAGATGGAGCCAAGGCAAGTCCCTGGCACAGGACTGTGGGGGCTGAGCTGATGGGACACATCAGGGCCACAGTTCAGCCCCTTTGAGGTTTCCACATGGGGCTGGGAAATCTCGTAAACCCTACAAGAGTCTGACTTGGAACAGCCACACTTGAAAGATGGTCACAGGTCACTAGGGTCTGTTCTCACTTGTAAGTCCCTCAGGACCCTGTTCAAATAAAACTAAACCCTTGAGAAAAACTCAGAAAGCTCAGAATCAAGAAAATTGTATTAAAAGGCATTACTCACTGTAAACTAATTTTAAGTTTACTGAGTTTTCCAATGGCAGCAGTACTTGCTTCAAACTGAATCTCACCCCTTCCTTATGCAACAATTGCTAGTCCTGTCTGAAGGGATCAAAATTGGCCATAAATAGGATCATAGAATTGTTTGTTTTGGAAGAGACCTTATAGGTCATCATGTCCAGCCATCACCCCAGCACTGCCAGGTCACCACTAAACCATGTCCCTCAGCACCACATCTCCACAGTTTTTCAATCCCTCCACAAAAGGGGACTCCACCACTGCCCTGGGCAGCCTGGGCCAACCCTTCCAGGGAAGAAATTGTTTCACAGGTCCAACCTAAACATTCCCTGGTGCAACCTGAGCCTCTTCCCTTGTCCTGCCACTTGTTGCCTGGGAGAAGACCCAACCTGAGTCTAACCTCCTGTCAGGAGCTGTGCAGAGCCAGAAGGTCTCCCCTGAGCCTCCTTTGCTCCAGGCTCAGCACCCCCAGCTCCCTCAGCTGCTCCTCCCCACACTTGGCCTCTAGACCCCTCATATGTACATATGTATGTATCTGAACTGAGGATCTGCAGCCTGCTGCTCATCCCACTTCCAAGATGGGGATAGACTCACTCTGATATCACTGGTAACCTGGAAGTCAGTGTGACCTATAATTTCTTAAAAATTGTTAGTCCTTCCTTTGTACTGGTGGGACCTTATAAGGAACGTAAAGCTAGCAGACAGCTCTAAGATGTTGAATTCAGTTGAATAATTCCAGCTTCAGCAACATTCCAAAAGGCTTCCAGACAAGCAAATTCTCACCAGTTGAATGAGCAGGCTAATGAGCTCCGTCAGGGGCTGATTGATCAGCAGAAGGCCTTCAGCAGCCTGTGTGTCCCCTCCTGTGCCACATTTCTGTGCCTTAATAAGATGAGAAAAAAAAAAAGCAACCTTAGTGACTGCTCAGTTTTGAGAAACAAATTAGGTCCAAGAGGGAGTCGAAGTTGGAAAGGATGTCTGAAGGAGGCTGGTTTGCTCTCTCCTGGTGAGGCATCCCCTGCTCCCAAGGAGTGTGCCTACTCTGGGTGGGCTCCAGGCACCCACCTGCAGGATGATTCTCCAGCAGGATGCTACAAACTGTACATGCCAAGGGCAGCTCTGAAGCCAGAAATGCTTTATTCATTTCTGTTCTCTCTCAACATGACCCAGACATTTTATCATGAAAGGTTTTTTTTTTCCTTCATCAGGGACAATTTCAAGTGTGACTCCAAACAAGAAAATTGAGGCAACTGAGAAGTTAGGATTCCCAGAAACAAAGTCCCATTTGCCCCTCTGACTCACACTGGATCCTGAAATATTCATAACATGTTACAACAATTTGTATTAGCTTTGAAACAGGAGCAATAAACTGTGACCAAAATCTGATACAATCTGTTACTGGTTGTAATTCTGCCCACTGTCACCCCCCTCCTGACCAACGCACCCCACCACCCTCAGCAGAGCTCTTTATGAGCCCTCCTTGCCCCAGGACACCAGAAGGGTCTGCTTGCAAGACTGGCCATTTACCTTCATTATCTCCCACCAGCTTTGGACCCTGACCCTGCACAGCTGAGCTGCTGGAGGAAAATGTAAATGTTTTGTCTAGAGAAGGCATCTAAAAATCATTCTGTGCTGTGTTTCATTTAAAGCTCAACCCTAAACCCATCATCCCAGTGAACAGCTGAGGATTTTTGTTGGGTTGAGAGAACACAGGAGCAAGACTCCTGAGACAGGAGTCACTACTGCTGCAGCTCTACTTTTGATATTAAGGAGTTGAAAGCATCAAGTCTTTCTTCTGGCAAGAAATTTGAAATGAAAGAGATGTGAAGAGCTGTTTCTCCAGGTAATAAGGCACATTGGTATGTCCCTCACAAACTCATCACAATGACCTGGAATGCTGAAGTCCAAGAAGGGCAAAAAGATATAGTGCAGAGAGGACAAAAAAAAAGGAGTTTATGCTAATTGAGAAAGGGAAGTGAGCCACCTGCACTTCAGCAAAATTCACAACAGCTTTTTCTGGTTAGTGCTTGGGTGAGAGGAAAGACATCCTCCATCAGGGACATTTGCCTGCTTCTATAGATTTAGTGTCTTTGGGAAGAGAATGAACAATATCTGTAAAGGAATTCTTTCTATGTGCATACAAAGGGCAGACACACAAATTAACCTGAACCTCTGCACCATTTCCATGAAAACACAGGCACTTGGACTTCCCCTCAGGAGAGCAAAGAGCTGAAGGAAGCTGGATGCAGTTCCCTGCACCACTCAGCATGAAGTACTGCAAGGCCAAGGAGAAGTGCTGGGGTGTTCTGCCTGTGCACCTGGATGAGGTGAGCACTTCACACATAAAAAGCTTAAATAAAAAGGATTCAAGTGGAGGTAGCACCATCTGTAAAAGCCAACGTAAGGCTCCAAAATGGATCATGTGAGGAAAATTTGATTCCTGTATTCAAGTTCTGTCTTAGAATTCAGAAGATGCCTGTGAAAACAGTGCAGGAATATCTGTTACCACCACAGTGATGAAGTCAGTGCCAGGTGGGTAGTGGAATATTCTGCAGATGTGCTGTAAATAGCAGTCAGCAACTCATGGCCATGATTGAGTAGGGCATATGTACTGAGGCAGCTCTGGAACTCACAGTGGCCCTGTGGCAAGTACTGGCAAGACAAGTATGGCAAGGCAAGTACTGCCACCACCAAATTAGCTTTATAGGGGTACAGGGCAGAGCTATGCTTCAGAACTCAGGTTTCCAGCAGCCTCCTGTTACCTGCTAGCCTTCTGGAGCAAAGCAGGACACTCTGACTAGGGCTGGACAAAACTGGTGCTGCAGCTTCACAGCATCAATCAACCGACGTGTTCATGTAAAGCCAGAACAGAATTTGGCTTTGAATGTATAGATTTAATTTTGTATCTGAATGAAAATCAGCAGTTTCAGTACTATCAGCAATCCACGTGCAAGATCCTCTTTCCTCCTGTGCCCTCCAGTATAATTGGCCTCATCCCTGCAAGTACAGAATTTAGCTCTTTGTGATTGTGTGGAGCGAGGCCAATAATATGACAAGTAGCAATTAGCCTACAAAATTTGATTTACAGAGTGATTCTTAGATGAGAAACCCATTACAGAACCTGCTAACAGAGGACACAGCAAAGATAAGGTGTTGTACCACCCGATCTAAGTTCAGTTTCTTTGAAAAATAACAACTCAACCAGGTATTTCACAGAGAGGTGAATAATACACCTGACTATGTAAAACTGTGTAAGGGAAGAAAAGCAAGCTCCATTTTCAGCACTCACTTAACACATTAAACTTTCACAAACAAAAACCACACCAAACCACCAACAGAGGAGAAGACGTGTCCTGAGAGACAATATAACCTGGCTGCAGTCTTTCTAGTCACCAGATACACTGGACCTCATAGGCTTCTCTGCTCTTCAGGGGTAATCCCAAGAAGATCCAAACCCTGACATGTGGAGCAGGTGGTGTTGTTTGCAGCCTCAATACAGAATTTTGTTCCACTTGGCTAACTTAGAAATTTGGTGGATCTTTTAAAACTAAAGCAAATATTGCCAGCTTAACATCATGCCTAAAAAAAGATGAATGATTTTTCTTCTTTTGTTTTTAAAAGCATTGTGTGCAGTTTCTTTGAATAGTATCTTTTTTGTGCTTCATTTTTAAGGAGGAAGATGACTTCACTGGAGGGGGAAGTCCTAGCAATGCCAGGAGCTGCAGTGGTTCAAACAGCAGCTTGGAAGACACACTGAGCAGCATGAAAGAGAGAATACTTTTATCAGTGCACATGCAAAGGTTACACATGCTCTTCAAGTTGAGTAATCACATGTGATTTATAATGAAAAGATGTTGTTTTTTTACAGTTATCTTTTTCTTTTAAAACAGACAGAAGAAAAAACGCTTTGAACAATCATCCAGGAAATGCTGAATTAAGCTGCTGATTGAGCACAGAAACAAACCAGTCAGCCAGGATCTTTGTTTCCAGGACACATTGAAGCTAGCAGAGATAGTCCAGACAAGTAGCTACACGGAGCAGTGACATGATGTGGAAAAAAATGTGCTTTTTGTTTTCTACCACGCTAAAAATTAAATAAACCCAGAACTGTAGGAATTTCATGAGTAGTGTAACAGGAAGTTAACAGAAAAAAACCATTTCAGATGGTGATGACCCCAGGAAATCAGTGCCCTACCTGCAAAGTCTGGCGCACCACGTTGGCTGTGTAGAGCAGCAGGCAGTGCAGGGTGTCCAGCAGGGACAGCAGCAGGGCACTTGCTGTCTTGGGGCTGCTCTTGTCATCACCCTCCAAGTACAGAGCCACGGTGTCCACCAGGAGCTTACAGAGATGGTGAGCCAGTCCTACACAGAGAGAGAGAGACAAAGACAAGAGAGACTGTGAGGAAAAGGACAGTGTGGGAGGCAGCCTAGTCAAAAAGAACAGATTAGGATAAAAATGAGTTTGATGTACGTTATGAATATGGATTAATTTTCCTCTTTTTTGCCATTATTATAATTACTTCCTCTCCTAATTCTGTTTGGAGCAGCTCATAAAGAGATACAATCAAATTTGCTAACTGCATGGAAAATTATGTAACATTCATTAAATGAAGACATACTTTGAATCCTAAACTTTTCTGTCCCCTGCTGGTACACAGGTCTCTTTCACAACACTCCTGGTCACAAAATTTAAACAATTTCTCCAGGCTGTTTCAAAATAACCCATCAAGGTCAGAGCCTCAAGTTTTCTTTCCTAACTGGCCTGCCAGTTACAACTTTTCCCATCCATTTTAATTGCAGAGTTGAACAGTGTTATGCCTAACATAAAATATATTTGGAAGGGCATTATTAATGAAATACTGAATGCTACAACTAAAATGCTATTAAGACTTGACTGATGATAGCTATTTTCCTGAAAATACCTTCTTGCTTTGAAGCTTTTTTTTTAAGCTCCTTAGAAATTTAATAACATCAGCTCCTGTAGCTTGCCTAACCCACAAATCAATTCCCATATCAGAAAAAATATAATCCATTTCAGGGCAACACAGATTCAATTCAGAATCTTTTCTTACTTTCAAACACAAAGCAACAGAGTTCATTACATTTGATCTTAATCTTTTTCTTTCAGTTTTATAAGGAATGGAAGACTTTGCTCCTTATCAGTGACATAATTATGTTTGTAAACCATCTTCTTTTAAAAGCTGGCACTTGGCCAGACTGTGACTTGGGTGCTCACGTGTAGTAATATTGTAGTATATTAGTAGCATATTAGCTTCTAGTCCACATGACTGCCAAAAATGAAGTATTTCACTGAAGTATATCACTTCCTTTTACAAATTCTCCTTTAAAAAGTAACTGCATAGATATTTTCAAACATCAGGACAAGATTAAAATGAGCCACTGTAGAATACAACATATAATGACACCATTCAGCTTTTCAGGGCAGTCAGATCTGGGAGGTGTTGAACCATTTTTTGGCTTCCATAGATACCCCATCAGCTTAACTAAAATTCCATGAAATATTTTCCTTCCCTATTCATCTACCCTTAATACTTTCCCTCAGGAAATTAAATACAAAAACATTCATTTAGAACACAGTTATGGGTCGGGATCATTAAGTCTCACACTCTTCTTCCATCTCACATCTATTGTGTTTTTCTGATTACTAGCACTACTCTTTCACAACAGTTTGATTGATGGACTACAGCTCAGGCTAAGCTTTCCATTTCCTGGAGCTTTGTCTGCATAAACCAAACTCTCAAAATTTCATCAGTCTAACATAGCACTTTTAATTTCCTTCTCCTTTTTGAAAAGTACAATTGCTGCTGCACTTCTGAACACTTCATAGAAAAATGAGATAGAAAGCAGAGACACATTGAAGTGATGTCACCAAGGAGGAAAAAAAACCCACAGACATAATTGTATATCTACCCAATACAAAACTTGGGGTTATTCTGTGCCTTTTTTTCCACCAGCCTAAATTAGAACAAACCTAAGAAAACAGTCCAGTAAAGGCTGGGTCCCTATCAAAGCAAAACTGCCTGCAAGGGTATGTCCCAGCACACTGTTTTGCCTGTGTTTGACCACAAAGCCCACAGCCACATCAAAATGAACATGTCACCCTATTATTTCTTGATGGTTTACACACAACCCTTAAGACAGTGACTTGGAGATTAATGCTGAAGTATTTACATCCTACTGTATTAGCAACCCTGCCTCCAAACCCCTGAGATACAGCAGGATATTCACATTTACTTAGCTAACTAAAGCATCAGAACTGGGGGGTTTTATACAGGCAGACACATGCTCATGCAGAGTTCTGTGTACAGATCTGCACGTTCAATTTGGAAATTGTGGGGAATAAACCCCCACATTTGTCTGGGACATAAAACACCTTTGGAAAATTTAACATCAAAACTTTATTACTAAAATAAAGCACGGGTGCAAAATGTTCCCTAAGACACTCCACAATTCAGACAGAAACCTGATAAACACTTGGTTGCTCAGATAAAAAATAAACCAAAACAGACTGACCTCTTGGCCACATAAAAGTTCCAGGCATGTACTTTAAAATACTTCATTGTGTCACAGCAAAATGAAAGTTGGAGGCCACAATTATAGACATGCAAATACACTCCTTGCTTAGACCACAGGACAAAATATGTTCTTTGTCCCCAGAAGTGAAGGCTGGGGAGCTGGTAGAACTTAGAGTGACCGTGACAAAATTCAACACAAGTTTTACAGCTTTGGGCACTGCCACTGTAATTAGTTTAAGGTAGTTATAAAGAGTCAAATTGACATATCTCAGTATTCCAGAAATTGAATCCCAGAACAGCCTGAAAAAAGAGCATGCAATTCTAAAAATAAACCAACTGTATACATAATATAAAAATTGCATCTGGGTTTCTAAGTTTCAGGAGATAACGTTGAAAGTTTCTTTTCAAGCTTTATAACTGATTCAAGAACCACATTCTTCTTAATTTCCAACAACACCTAAACCAGTATTTACCTTTAAAAACCACAGGTAATATATTTCTGAGTTATAGTTATGAGACCTAAATTCCTCACCCAGTAACTCTCAACTCTTCATGAGATAGTACAATAGGCTCTGATTCAAAAGGCACCTCCCAGGCACTCCTGAGCTTTGGAAGTGGTGGGTCTGAATTCTGTATCACAGAGGAGAGCTAAACACAATTAAACACAGGAAGATTGTTCTACTGAGAAAAGCTACACATTTTAAAGTATTCTGATACTTCTAAGCATGTGACAGATTACATGAGTTATAGTGCATCACCATTTCTCTCAGCTGAGCATTTACTAAGAGAATTAAATAAAAAATTTAACTTACAGATTTTTATTTACTCTTAATTTGCAAATTTCAGCAAACAAGTATATCACATTGTATGGGTTATAGCTACAGTTTCAATTTATTACAACACTTCATAGTGCACTAGTCATGCCTTGTATTTATTTGTAAAAGGAGTAGCTTTCAAATACCCAGCCTCAGTGTGGCTCTCTGCTATTCAAATTTTGCAGAAGAAAAAAGACAAAAATCACAGAACATGTATCAGAATGATGGTGTTTATGAATTAAGGGAACTGGAATTAAAGAACCTGTTCTAATTGCAGCCCAAGATTCCCAGTGTGTATTAAAGGAATTGCATCCAAAATTCCTATCCAGTTTGCCAGCGTTTGGGAAACCCAGTGTCCAGAGCAGGGTATTTCTGCTGCCCAGAGAGCCCTGCCAGAGGCACAGCGCGTGGGCTGTGACGACTGTGCTTGTGTTTTACACACCTTGACAGAGATGAAAGGAGCCTGCTGGCCCCTGAGGGCTGGGACAGACCGTGCCGTGGTGCCTTTGGAGGGAAAGTGCAGGGGGGAGATTTGATTCTCACCTATCAGCCAGATGGATAAAGGAAAAGAAATCTTCACTTCCAATTCCTACAAAACATCAAAGGACAGCCTAGGAAGCAATCTTCTAGGCAATCCTTTCATGCCTACCAGCAATCAGAGCAGTGGAGGTGGCTGCCTGCCTCCAGCTGAGGCTGCCAGAGCAGAGCAGGGGTGTCCCCTCTGCAGGGCAGTGAGCCCCCAGCCCCCAGCAGGGGTTGGCTTTGGTCCTGCCCAGGCAGCTCTCCCAGAGCTGCCTGTCCCCCTGTCCCACGCCTGGCTCCCCAGGGCTGTCACCAGAGAGAGACCCACGAGACTTCTCCTCCTCCTCCTCTCTCAGACACAGTGACACAGTGGACCTGCTGGGGTTTTTTGCCACACTCCCCCCTCCTTTATTTTTTTTCTTTTAAATAAAACAAACCAACCCACCCCAGCTCAAAATGATGATGATGATGATAGAAATTATGAATATCTCCAGACTATCTAGCAAACATATTTCATCATCTTTTAAATGTTAATGAAAAAACTCAAAAGTGGTCCTAAGAAGAAACCTGGCACTGAAGTCGGATAGATTATTTCACAGAGAAATCAGTTTTTCCATACCTGAGCACTACAGATAATCCAAAATGTCATAAAGACTCTTCCATAAAACCTTATCATCTACAGAGCCTGGGATGTAAGCTGCATTCTTTGCACCACAGCCCTACTACTCCAGGTCTCCTGTTCACAAGAACTGAAAACAGGCAACATAAAGCAAACAGTATCTTCAGGGTAATCACATTTTTAAAAGATGCTCAGTGCTCTTGTTGTTATTTTTGTTATTTGTTACCACTTTTATTTAGGAATTATTTGTGTTAGTAACTGTAATTTTATTGAGGGCAGAATAAACCAGGAGAGAAAATTAGATCACCACTGATTTCAAGATTTGGTGAGTTATCCTATACCCACAGGAAATTTACTTTCTTCTAAAATATCATCTATGGAACAAACATGTAGGTGGCCAAGACCAACAGGTTCATACAACAGCCAACTAAGAGATAGAAAATCAAGTGGATTCTCTCATAAAAAGAAGTACCTGAGTGTGATAAAAGATATTAAAACACAACTTGAACAATTTAGCAATAATAAAATCACATCCTGTTGAACACGTTTGACTACTTAACACAAAACCAGCAAAAGAGAACAAATTATACCAACTAGGCTAAACAGTGTATGAAAAGACACAGTCAGAATGACACACACAGAAGAGGAGCATGTCTGAAAGTATAATCACTGAGCCCTTTGGGAGTTCCTGATTTGCTGCTGCTTTTGAAAGTGAAGAAGAAAAAATAAAGGATGAATAAAGTAAGTCAGAAAAGCTCTCCAAGCTGTGTGAAACCAAGTTCACAGTGCATGTGGGTACACTACTTAATACAAACCCAGCAAAATAGAACAAATTATACCAACTATACTAAACAGTGGTTGTTCTGTATG